CATTTCTATTATTAAAAAAAATAAATAAATGGGATATAAATAATATTGAATCATACTTAAGTTTTCCATTAGTTTTGATGCCATGTTCTGTAGTACTACTTTCTGTAGTGACGTAATGAGAGAAGAGAAAACACTGTTAGGATTAGGATGACACTCAAGTGTTGCTAGTACTGAAGAGAATATTTTGTTAGCTCTATCATAAGGACTGAGTCCTAAAGTACCTTCAACAGTAACATGTACTGCTTTAGGAATGACATCAGATGAAAAGAGATGATTATTTAACTGAGAAATAACTAGAGCATTTCCTGCCAACAGATCAACAAGATCAGCTAACATCTTTTTCATTGTAATGTATTCTGGTGGCATCGATCCTTCCATTGGTTCTAATGATGATGGATCTTTCTTCCCCTCCTTATCTTGCAGTACTGTTGCTGTTAGATCATGTGGAGCTGATGATGAATCTTGAGATCGACTTGGCTTAGGTGCTGTTGGTGGAGGTTTTGGTGGTGGAGGTTTTTTAGTTATTGATGGTCGGTTTGGTTTAGGTGCAATTGTTGAAGGTTGTGCTTTTGGTGAAGATTGTTCTGTTATTGATGGTCTTTGTGGTTTAGGTGCTTTTGGAGGAGGCTGTGTAGTTAGTGATGGTCGACGTGGTTTAGGTGCAGTTGGAGGAGCGGGTTGTGAAAGTGGTCGTGGTTTTTTTGCTGTTGACAATGGTTGAGATCGTCCACTTTGTGATAATGATCTTGGTTTAGGTGCTATTGGGGGAGGAGACTTTAGCATCTTCTGTGATGAACCTATTAATAGTAATTGCTATTAACACTGAATTATTAATAAATAATTAATAAAATATTAATAATTAATAATTAAATTAGTAATTTAATAAAAACTGACATGCTTGCTGATTACGTTAGCCAATTTTAATACACTCTTTGAAACATTTATACCTTTTATTTTTCCAGTGGCTACTCTCATTTCATGTAGCAGTGTTGGATGTTCTTCAAATGCTCTTATAAGAAGAGACATTCCTTCATGATCATTAACAGCATTTCTAATCTTTCTTATAGTATCAGCATCAAGCAGTGGTAGAGACTCCTCCAGTTGTCCTTTGATCAATAACTCATGAAACTCTATCAATTCAGATACTGTTGGTCTATCATCTGGTATATTCATTAATGCAATAGGAGAGAGTGGAGGACCTCCTATCAATGGCTTGTTTGTACCTGTAGGAGGATAGAGCATTAAAATAACTGTAGTCATTATCTCAATTGAAGTATTTCATAGTTATCATACTACATACCAATCAATTATGGCTTACTATAAATTTTACACATAATTTAACAAATTAAATACATTACATTACAAATACCGTATAGCAGGAAATTTTCGTTGCCAGAAACTTTCGTTGTTTTTCCAAGAAGGCTTTACAAGATATTTTCGTTGATTTTATTTTCGTTGGTTTTATTTTCGTTTTGCCTAATATAAATTTTCACTGCCACACCCATTTAATTAGTACCACGTGTGTGGTTTAAGATGGAAGAATGTCTACGGTTCACCGTGGTTACCACATTTATAAAGACATTTGGAGCCCATCAGTTGGAGAAGAACTGCCTTTTGTGTCAATTCTGATAATGCCACAGATTTCTCCATATGAGGCTTGATTTAAGACCAATGATGTATCCAAACTCTTGAGTTTACTGTCATCATGGTAAACATCAATGGTTAAAAGAGCTATTATTAAGTATGGTAAGGATGATTAAAACATACAAATGGGTAAACAACAGTAAACCTCATTGATAAGCATTGAAACTGTGGCTAACATTAATAAACATAGGTAGCTAAATACATACATGTATATACATATGATATACAGTGGTAAACATGGGTCAACAGTGATTTACAGTGCTGAACACAAGTAAACATAAGTAAACAAAGATATACAGTGATAAACATTGGTCAACAGTGATTTACAGTGTTAAACACAGGTAAACATAAGTAAACAAAGATATACAGTGTTAAACATGGGCCGACAGTGATTTACAGTGCTAAACACAGGTAAACATAAGTAAACAAAGATATACAGTGGTAACCATGGCTAAACACTGATAAACTTTGACAATACAGTGGTAAAGACTAGTAGACATAGGTAAACAATGATATACAGCTGAAAACATAGGTATACAGTGATATACAATGCATGCCTAATTTCTTATATCATGTGTTATATATACACGACAATAAGGGAGTGGCTAACCCAA